GTGCACAACCAGATGACCGTTTTCGGTCCATAGCCGAAAAATACTGCTAGATCTGGCATATTGACAGCAATGGACTGGCTTTCTAGGCTCCCCTTCCTATTATTTTTAGGGCTTTCGGAAAGAAAATGACCACACTTGGAGGACCACTGTTAGCCCATCAAGTTTCATAGCATGACAAGGCAATTAGACTGAAGCATGAGGACGCAACTGAAAGCAATGGAGGTGGTCACTCCATAGATACAGATTGTGAAAGACACATCACAGTGTTCTTCTAATTCAATTGGTCCAGGAGGCAGGGCTCACAGGGAAATCCTGTGCAAGGAGGAGCATGCAACGGCAGCCTCTTTGTGTGCCGAAAAGTGGAGGAAGAGCTGTGATTGGCTGCCACGTGGTCCCATTGATGGCTGGGCCCTTGGTGTTATTGCCATCCAACCAAGCAGAAGAGGCTGGATTAGCGGAAGGAAAATGGCTAAAAGGGATCCACACACAAGCCTACTAGATATAGCAGAGGATGACCTTGACTTTTTCAGAAATATTTTGCTGATACTTTCTTGACTTCTAGCAGAATAAATTAAATAATTTTTGATTCAGTTCACCTATTTTCCTTTTACATTAAGTTGCCTTTTTAATACATCAGGTTTTCTGCTATCTAGTTAACTCTCCAGTGCTTAACCGAGGCATTCATTGTCTCATTGGCTTGATGTCCTTTGAAACAAGGATTACCTGGGATTTAATTTGAAACCTTGTATGTTCAAAGCATAAATTATACCACTGAGTGATATGGCTTGATTACTGTTGCTCTACAGGCTTTTAATAGCAACTTGAGGTATACTGATCAACAGGTGATAAAACATTATCTGTATTGTTAAAATGTCACCGGCTGATACCTGAGTATCAGTTGCAGGAATAGTCCAGGTGTCCTTCTAGAAAAGAACAAGAGCAACAGACCTTGAACCCAGAGTATTTGTACTGCTTGCAATCCTCCCTGTTTTTCCATTTGTTTCCATCTTTTTTCATACCACCAATGAAAAACAGATCTGTTAAGGAGAGAAAGGAAGAATGTGTTCTGATTTATGCAGTACTCCAGATTATTTATCTCTTGCTGCAATTATATGCTTCACAAGTGTAAAAAGAAGACAGCCTCCAAGTTGGGCTCCATTTGTGTAGGAAACATGGATATAGCTGGACATTTCTTAGAGAAACTCTGGAATATATGACTGCGGGCTATTGTTATTTTCTGTAGCAGTTACAAAAAGAAAGAATTGGTGGCTATACAGTCTACAAGTAAGAGGTTAATCATGCTATTTCCTATTTGTTGTCTGCTGGTATTCAACTTTTGCAAATTGCAGGTTCAACACTCTCAGTTTGAAATGCCAAACTTCTAGAAAAGTAAGATATGTGATGTAATTATACATGTATCTTTAAAAAGAAAACCTAAAAATTGTGGAAGTGATACTGATGGAAGAAAACTTTCACACAAGAGGAATGACATCCATTGTTTTCCCTGGGAAGAAAGAAGAAAAATGTCTAAAAGCTGTCTTAAATAGCACAATCCATCATGTTTCTTGAAATACCAAAACAAGAGGAATAATCATAGGCTGCCAGGCTGAGGTTCCAGTAAAAGTCATGCCAGAGTTGAAAGACCCCAAAGGTAGATAATTAGATATTCATTTATAAAAGACATAAAGATTATATGATACACACCAAATAATGGGCAGACGACACTTTTTAAACCCATCTATTTCAGAATGTTTTAAAAAATGGATAAAAATAAAAGTTACTATTGATAGAAACTCTGTTAATACACTCTGTACTGTTAGATAAAGCTCATAAAAGCACAGAACACTTAACATTAATTTAGCATTACAAATAAGCACCTTGTATATTCAAAGTACAGGGAGTCCCTGAGTTGCAAACATTGGACTTACAAACGACCCATAGTTAAGAACAGGAGTGAGACAACAGGAAGTGAGAGAAATCTACCCCTTGGAAAGGAAATTTACTACTAAAAGAATTACATAGGGAAAAGATGTCTCCACTGAAACTTTATCACCAATCCTCATTTCCACAACAAACCAAATTTTTCAAAACTCAGTTATCACTGAGATTAAATCTTCTGATCTGGGGCACAGACAACAAAACAAACACCACGGAGGTGACATTAACCCTTCCCTATACTATCCAAAGCTTTTATGTGTGTGTGTGTGTGTGTGTGTGTGTGTGCGCGCGCGCGTGCGCGTATGCATGTATATGTATAGATACACACACACATTCACACACAAACACGTATTTGACTGGAGTCACACTTTAAAATGTACCTATTTTGACTTACAAACAATTTCAACTTAAGAAAAACCTACAGAACCTACCTTGTCCATAACTTGTAGACTGCCTGTATAGTGGCTAAAATGTCGGCGCTGGGACTTGAGATATTCAGGTTCAATTCCCCATTGAGCCATGAAACCCACCTTGAGATAATCACTGTCTCTTTGCTTGATCTACTTTTCAGGGCTGACTATTGGGAGGATAAAAGGTTAATGGTAGCGTGTGATACCATGAGCTCATTAGAGTACAGAGGAGGCATGCAACAAATAACAGCACATATCAATAAACCTGGCTATTGACTGCACTATCCTAAGCATGTTCCATTGCATTCTGTGTCAGAACTGTACCGTATTGCTTATTGAAAAAGTAATAGTCTCCTAGTGAAATGCAACAGCTTTGTTTATCCTTGGAGAACCTAAAAGAAGCACCAATGCCATCTACTCTGTTATGGTGCCACTTCCTGCCATGCTGGTTGACCACCTGTGGCATCACTGGTGCTTTTCCCTCTCCATTGAATGACTCTCAATTTATTTTCATGTTATATCAAAATCCCTAATTTTGATCCCAAAGCCTGTTCTTGCCTTATATGTGAGTATATATGGTAACCAAAGACCAGTTCAAAAGCGGATGATATTTTTATGAACTTAAATTGTAAACAGTATAGTAGATATACTCTGTCTAAATACTCCAAAAACTCCAGATTTTAGGAGAAGATTAGATTAGAATTCGAAGGCATTTGTAAGTGATGTTTTTATAAGATGTTGGTTTTATGGAAGGGGAAAATGTTAGGAAAATTAGTATGGGTTAAACCAGGGGTCCTCAAACTTTGAAAACAGAGGGCCAGTTCATGGTTCCTCAGATTGTTTGGGGAATGGGACAAGATGATAGTTTGAAAAAAAAAACATGAATGAATTCCTATGCACACTGCACATATCTTATTTGTAGTGCAAAACAACATGAAAGAATAATACAATATTTAAAAGGAAGAACAGTTTTGACCAGGATAAACTTACTAGTATTTCAGTGGGAAGTGTGGATCTGATTTTTTTTTCTGATGAGATAGTCAAATTAATTAGGATTGTTGTTGTATAGCTTCAAGTCATCTTAGGGCAACCCTAAGTCTAAAGTTTAGGGTGTGGGTAAATAACCTTGGAAGGCTGCGTCCGGCCTGTGGGCCTTAGTTTGGGGATCCCTGGGTTAAAGAATCAAATCTGATGTTCTTTATGCATGTCTACTTAAAATTCATTCCCCCGCCCCTCTCTCTATATGGAACTTACCATATATATTGGTGTATAAGTCGGTCTACAAGTCAAGGGCAAGTTTGGGGGCCAAAATTATGTATTTTTATATGACCAGTAGATAATTAGAGAGTCATTCTGTGAAGCGTGGAAAAGGCTCCCAAAAGAAGCCAGACCTGAGAGAGAGCAGAGGGAATGTGCTTCTTTTGGGTGCCTACATTTCTGCACTGAACTATCAAAGAGCAAAGTGTCACCGTTTCAATCATCCTTGGGGGCACTTTTGGATTATTATTTCAGATTTCAGAATTTTGATATGAGATGCTAAACCTATATTGATAATAGTTTTTAGTGGGCATGATTTATTACTGGATTGTTGTAGGTTTTTCGGGCTGTATGGCCATGTTCTAGAAGCATTCTCTCCTGATGTTTCTCCTGCATCTGTGGCAGGCATTTTCAGAGGCATCCTCATAACCTCTGAGGATGCCTGTCATTGATGCAGGCAAAACCTCAGGAGAGAATGCTTCTAGAACATGGTCATACTGCCCGAAAAACCTACAACCCAGTAATTTCAGCCATTAAAGCCTTCAACAATACATGATTTCTTACATCTGCTGTGAATTTATGAAAAGGTAAATGTCACACATCAACCATATTCCTTCCCTCTGATATTTGAGAAATGTTTAACATATCAATAGCATGGATTGCAACTATTTTGGTTCCATGAATAACACATCCCCCTCCTCCGCCTACTCCTCCTCCACCATGATTTTGCTACAAGGACACATCAAGTGGAAGGGATTTAGGGATGCTGTAATCTAAGGTTTCAAGTAGCTTTAAAATTACTTCTAAACCTAATGGTTTATCATGGGCATAAAACGAAATATATTAATTACATTGTAACCAGTGGTGATCATCATTCTAGACCAGGCATGGGCAAACTTGCCATCCAGGTGTTTTGGACTTCAACTCCCAAAATTCCTAACAGCCTCAGGCTCCTTCCTTTCTCATTGGATACATTTTATGATAGGATACATAACATAATACATTCTAAAATTTTCTCGGTAACTTTCTAAGTAATGTAATGTTGTTGTTACTTTACAATTTTATTACTTTAGTGGTTGTCTCAAAAGCTTGAGTTGCTGACTTTTGTCCTAATTTTGTCTCATACAAGTTGTACACTTGTTGCAATGTAACACTAGAAGGATTATTAGTTGCACTGTATCAGAAAACTACAAAATGTAGGCCTGAAACATGACATAGTGGTATACATAACAATGTAAAAATGTCTTGGTTTGTTAGAGTTAAAAGGAGAATTTAAAACTAAGTTTTCAGCACATATTTAGGACAGACTCTGTTTAACCATGGCAGAGCAACCTTTGAAATTCTAGAATAATAACCATTTAAATTAAGACCATCTTAACATTTTTATCTTTACAGGAAGGAATTATTTCATCTTGGCCCTGAGATGGCTGCATCAGTGACTGAAAGACTGACTGCATAATTCATTGAAACCAGAAATGTGGGAGAAGAGAGCAGAAGTGTTACCGATTTCAGTAAGATGGAAAAAAAGAACTGTCCAGATTAACCAGTCTACATGGTGACTGTAGGAGAGGAAAGAAGATAAAGATAAGTCCAAAAGGTAAATCTAATAAAACTAACTTGGGTGGCAAGGCCAAAATACAGAGTTTGAAGCCGAGGCTGGGATCTGGAAAGGCAATCTGAAAAGACTACGTTCTGACAGCAAGACATGTGCAAAGTCAAAATCAAACATAGTAGGGGGGAAAAACAAGACAATATTCTCAGAAATAAGTTTAGCGTAGCATCAGGCACCTGGTATGTTACCAAGCTGTTGAATTACACAGAACTTGGGACATGGTTGTTCCAACAGTAGATAGACTTGAAGTGAAGACTTATGCTGCCTGATCTTCAAGAGCCCTGCGTGAATCCCACTGCTAAGAAGTACCCAGGTCACACAGCTCCCAACATTTACTCCTGATTAGTTTGGTTCTTCCAAACTTTAAAGAGCACACTGTTTTAGTAAGAATATTGAGGAATGGTGAATGATATGCTGCAGCCCTAAATCTAGAAGGTGATGGCTTTCTCTTCCAAATCCTTGGGTGTGGTAACATGAGGAACCTCACCCATGGATCACTTCCAGGACCTTTATTTTCAGAAGGCCTGGTGTAACAACTATAAGACAGGTGGGGATGCCTGTGAAACTGTAGGAGTTATGTGAGGATGGGGGAGTTCTGATTTCAAGAAATCTCTAGGTCTAGATTTTTAATCTAAAGAGCAAAAGCTTCTGTCCAAAAATGACAGGCACATAGATCAGACATGACACGCATATTTGAGACACAGAGATGAGGTGGTAATTACAGTTGCACCTTCATATCAATGGGTTGTTCATTCATAGATTCAACCAACCATGGCTCAAAAAAGTAAAATTAAATTCCAAAAAGGAAACTTAGATTTTTTTTCCATTTTAAATAAGAGACACAATTTCTATAATATTGTATATAATGAAACTTGAGCATCCACAGATTTTTTAATCCACAAGGGTCCTGGGACCAAACCTCAGCAAATCCTAGGTGACTGCTGTACTAATTAGACTACCCAGTAGTAATAATAATAATAATACTTCAGGAATGCTTTGCATATTATTTTAATCAGCCATATTCTTCATGTAATATCGAATATTACCAATCCACCATTTTTACCTCTTGCAGAGACAAGTTTTCAACCTTGCACAAGTATCAAAGCTTCTGTTCCACAACACATTTGATTGCATTCATCTGGGTGTTGCTTTAATTGGTATTGCATAACAATTAGGGCCAGTTTTTCTTTCGTCTTCTCTGATAAGTAATATTGGATAGAACCTAATATCAAGTGGCAGAAGGTGGGGAAAGGTTTCCGTGGTACAAAGTATTGCGGTTTTAGTGGAAAGAGGTTCCTGTCTAAATTTGGATCTTGATAAATTAAGAACAATAACAATCCAAAGGTTGCAGTATAGATTAGATTTAGACTACTGAACAAGAAAAGGTTCAGGTAATGACTGCTTACTCTGTCTATGTTGGATGAACCTGTTGGATTATGTGATAGGTAAACTGGTGATCGGCAAATTGGGGGCCTCTGTATCAGTAAAAACCAAACGGGGAAAGCCTAAACAGTTTGGGATAAAGAAATCTCTGTTTTTCTGTATCTCTTCTCTACCTGAATTAGAAAACAGTTCCCGGCTGACATTTATTAAAAGGAGAAGAGCAGTTCCAAACTTCAGCACTTTCTCAGAGTGAATGGCTGGTGTACTTAATAAAGTAATGTGGAAAGAAATCTGGGTGGATCTGGAAGAGCTCTTGCTACCTGTTCTGCCTTACTGGGATTTCTGTCAGAAGCATGCTATTCTGGGGATGACAGCAGCATGTTCATACCTGTTTTGGCAGGGGCAAACACATTTCAGCTTGACTCATGGGTGTTTGCAAACAACAGAAAGAGAAACTAATTGGCTTACATGTTCTGGTTTCAGTGTGAAGAAAGAACAATTAGAAGCAGAAATTAACTGCATGCCACAGGGCTTCTTGCTATTTCAGATTTAGCTGGATGTGCATGTGTGTGTTTGTGCAACAATCAAAATTGTTATGATTACTTCAGTATTATTGTTCCTTAGCAAAATTACGGTATTATGATCCTACTGCGGAATGAAAACATTGGACAGCTTCTCTCACCTGGTCCAAAGTTGGGGGACTTTTGGCCATCTAGATATTTTAAATGATAAATCCCATAATTCATTTGCATTAGCTGTGCTGCATTAATCTTTTGGGAGTTGAGAGGGAAAGCTTCCACCTAACTCAGGGGTCCACAAACTTTTTAAACAGAGGGCCAGGTCACAGTTCCTCAAACTGTTGGAGGGCCGGATTATAATTTGAAAAAATGTGAATGAATTCCTATGTACACTGCACATATCTTATTTGTAGTGCAAAAAAAAACAAAAAAACCAAAAAAACCCCCAAACACTTAATACAATAATTAAAATGAAGAACAATTTTAACAAATATAAACTTATTAGTATTTCAATGGGAAGTGTGGGGCTGCTTTTGGCTGATGAGATAGAATTGTTGTTGTTGTTGTGTGCTTTCAAGTCGTTTCAGACTTAGATTGACCCTGAACAAGGGCCGGGTAAATGACCTTGGAGGGCTGTATCTGGCCCCTGGGCCTTAGTTTGAGGACCTAACTGATGCCAACTGATGTCAAGCCAGACAAAGATGCATGGTGGCAAGCATGTATAAATCAATATCCTAGTTTTATAAGCTTATACATATTAAGGAAGGGATATAATATCCAAGCCAAATGGCAGTTTTCCTCAACTGTTGCATACTTTTTATTAACAAAGTGCATGGATGTAATATAAGAATGTTAGTTTTTTTAAAAAAAGACAAGGTGAGTCAAAAATGTCATTGTTTAGATCCTAAAGAAATTACAACCTTCCCTCAATATCAAGGGGTTCTACTTTTTTTATTTATTTACTTTATTTATATACCGCTTTTCTCAGCCCTCAGGCGACTCAAAGCGGTACATCCAAGAACTTAGGCAACCATGGTGTTGCACCCCAGTCAAAATTCACCTTGCACTCAACACCAGTGAGAAATCCAAAAGTAGTAGTAAAACAGTTTATTGAGAAAAGTACATATAAAAAGGATAAGTCACCATAAGAAATAAGAAAGGCAAAATCCAATAGGTAATGGGAAAAATAGTCAACAAGTAATAAGCCAAGCCAAACTGGCAAAAGGAAAAAAAACACTCCAAAGGTAATCATCCAAACAGTCCAAATCTGTTCCACAAAACAAGGTACAGGAAAACCAGAATCAAAACATGAGCATAAATCCAAGAAAACAAGAACCAAAACATAAACATGAATCCAAAAGCAAGACTCTAGAAACTTTTTAAATCATGAATCCAAACTCCCAAGATCTTAGACTCAAAACATGAATTGGAAACAAGTTTCAAGATGCTCACTGCTTTGCAGCATCGCCTGATTTGAATTCTAAAGGGAACAGTTCTCTGATTTGAGATCCACAAGCCATGAAGTTATGCCTGTGACCTTGCCTGCCTTGCCTGTGAGATTTCTCACACTGCTGTTTCTCACAGAGTATCTGTGGCCTTCTTAATTTTCTTGCTTCTTCCCTAAGATGAAATCTGAGATTTCTACTGACCGCAGGTGTGTTTTCAGGTGAACTTTCTCACCCACCCAACTCCTTTTCTGGAGTTGCCTTGAGAGACTAGGCAAAAAGCCTTTGCCAGCTGGTGCATCTCCCTGTCTGCTGGACTTTGAGGCACTTTCATTTTCGAGCCCATTCATACAGACAGGATCTAAACTTCCCTCATTTCCCTCATTGAAAAACCCACCCACTCTCCTGGGCCCTGGAATAACAATCCTCACATCATCATCAGTTAGCCGAACCACAACACATGGCTTGAATTTTTAAAAAAAAACAAAATCTCAAAGCAAACCTGAATTTTGCCACACACTGAGCACTATGCTGATGGGTAGGTTTAGCCCCCTTCCATTTTACAAATATTAAGGCTCTATCCAGGACACATTTATTTAATATTTTATTGCGCCATTACATTTAATGGTGTGTGTGTGTGGGGGGGGGGGTCCCCTGGAATCGAACTCCAGAGGATACCAAAGGCCTGCTGTTATAAGGGCAAGGGAACATTACTTTGCAATGCACACTATTTCTGATTTTTTTTTCAAACCTTTGACTGGAGGTATCTGTAGAACTATCTTCAAAAAAGCATAACTGGATTCAGACATCCCTTAGACTAGCCTTCCCCACCTTGGTGCCTTGAATTGCAAGGCCCATCATCTGCAGCCAGCAAGATCAGCAGGGCCACATTAGACAAGTTTGGTCTAGACATTATACAAACACAATTTAATTTCAACAAGGATATAAGAGTCCTTCAGGACTTCTTCAGAACTTACTGAAGAATGCATTTTAAAAATACAATGGAGAAGAAAAAGAAAATATTTTTGTACAGTGTGAAGAAAATATATAACATTGCCCTAGGCACAGGCTGCATTAATTTTGCAGTGGAATTGCTTTAATCCCTGTGATTATTCTTCATCTCCATTATCCCACACCAAGGACAACGTTAATTCTTAGTGATATATAGAAATGACCTTGTATGCGTGTGCATGTATGATTATATGTACCACATGAATTTGAACAAAATGTTTTGATATTCTTGGATTAGAGTGGTGGTGATGGAGGAAACTCTGGCTGCTGCCAATTGTAATGCTCAGAGATTTTCTAATGACTCAACTGAGGTGATACAGTGATTAAAATACTTCATTGCTCTTTAGCACCTCATAGCCAGAAAAAGGCCTGTTTATATCTTGCAGTGCATTTTATCCCTAAGTGAGAAAACAAATAGAGAGAGCTTGCAATGTGTATGTGCGGGTACCTATCAGTACACAATATATGTATACAGTATCCCTAAATCAGTCTCAGTACATATGTATACAGCTGGCCTGAATACCCCAAAGGCACCAAATCCCAACTGTCCTTGGAAACTAAGAAGGGCTAGTTCTGATTACTACTTGGAAGGGAAAGCACCAACAAATATGAGGTAGTGTAAGCAATA